AGGTGGGGTAGGTAAGAATTTGAAAAAACACAGCCGGAAGAAATCTGCATCTTCGTTACAGAGCCCCTCCTCCAACACACACAAACGCACACATGACCAATGAGGGCACGAGATAAGTTTGTGCACAGATGGAAGGCTGACAGGCAGGTAGGCCATCCAGTTATTTTAGCCTGGCCGGCTAAAATGATTGGTCGTGCTTTTTACAGTACTACGGCTTCCACAGATGAATTTTTTTTATGGATTTTTTGTCAAAGCACTTCAGATATTCATTGCTATCGGGATGTTAAGAGCATTCCATGGAATACAACAAAAAGTGTATCTCGAGCCGGTTTCTCAAACTTAACTACCCCACCTTTAAGTTATTCACAGACTGTGGAGTAGTACCTTATACAAACACACCTAAAAACACTAAGGATACCCCTTTTAATCTGAGCTGGTCAAACTTAAATTCAGCGACCTGCTAAATATCTACATTCCAGTGATTTAACCGGGTGTGTCTGCATTTTTGTAATCTACATTTAGGAGGAAATCTGTCATGATAAAAAGGGAATTAACGGGCACTGTTTATAAGTCTTAGCCATTTTTGATAAAAAATCGAATCAAATCCTCCCTCTGCTTTGACACGCCAAGACCGTCTGGGTGAAGGTTAGTGTTGAACAATTAATATAAATTTTAGAAAAATCACAATATGGACTAGTTCAATATTTAATTCACAGTGAGCCCAATCTTTTGTAAAGGTAAAATATCAATGGTGACTTCAGAGAAAAAAAATATTTCTGATATTTTATTGACATTTTTTGTGACATTTTCTGTCATTCAAGACATTTTAGTGACAATTGTTGGGATTATAAATACATTTTAGACACCTTTTTATTATATAGATTATATATCAGATTAAGTATACGTGAGAATATTATGACTTTTAAAACAAATATTTTATTATTTACAACACCTTTTCATGACATATTTAATATATTTTTTAATTATTATATTTTTAGAAATTTTCTGTGATATTATTTACGTTTTTAAGACATTTTTGTCAATCATTTTTTCATTATTAGCAGTATACTACTATAGAAATGTATATATAGAAACCTCAAAATCAATATCACTTTGAGTTTATGCTATGCTTTACCTCACAGAACACAGGAGTTTCTGGTTAAATGCTGACTCCAGTGAGCTAGGTTGTGTTATTGTGATATTTTCGACAACAACGCAAAATAAATTACATATCTAGTCAGCGGTAAACCAGCAACTTCTTTGCCATGTTAAGATAAATTACAGTTTTTGTCAATGGTAACTTATATTTGTTGTACGTCATAGCAGTCTTATTCTGTTTCAGCTAGTTTTAAAGGTCACCTATCATGCTATTTTTTTAGGCAATAGCATAGGTCTCAGATATATAAAAAACATGTCTATGAAGTGTTTTGCTCAAAATACCAAACAATTTGATTTAAAAAAAGGAGGGGGCTGAGTTCATGTGGGACCCGGCAGCTACTGTCTAAACTAAATACTGCCGTGATGAAACGCCATATCATGGATTATCAAGGATTATCTCTGAAACAGTATGGAGCTCAAAGGCTTTCTCTCTTGCCGGTTATACCACAAGGTGAGTTCCTTTTTTATTTCCTGCTTCTTCTCTCCAGTACAGCTTAGCTCTGAGTGTTAGCAATGCTAATGTAAACACCGACCATATTATGTCCAAAACAGCCGGGCATTGTTTCTGATGGCAACGTTTCTGATTGGGCCGTGGGTGTAAAGCCAGCCTACATTTCCGATATTACGTGATATCGGACGCAAATCTGGATCAGCTCCGTTGTTCCCCCGTTTTTAGAGATTTGGGTACATATTCATGTATAAAAGACGTACAAAGGTGCATTTTGCATGATAGGTCCCCTTTAATGTTTAACGCTCTTGTTGTTTTTGTCCTTTTTGATAAACATACATCTTTCTATAGGACTGCCCCCTCTTCAATTATGTGTTTGCTATTTTGGTCATAGTCCACTAAGATTGATGTTGTCAATTAGATTTACTAATTTGTTTTTTTCACACTGAATGACTTAATCCCATACATTTAATCAGCCGATCTTTAATAAAAACAAGATTTATAGTGGAATTTTCCCCTACAAATAATCCCTAACAACTAAACTGAAAATAAGTTGGCAAACCTGCACGGTTGAATTGACATTTTATACACTTAGCATGTGGTTTCTTTTATCTTTGACTTCACACTTTATCAAATGTACAAAGTCCTGTGTAAGCGTAACATACCAAGATGTGTATCTATAAATACTTTATTGGAAATAACCAGAGCACTCCTCTTACTGCCAAAAAGCCACAACAATTTGCTCTTTAAAGAAACGCACATTTACTTAACAACACGGAACATATTCTTGGAAGCAAACAAGCACGTAAGTGAACTATTTCTGCAGTCTACTGGCAGTCAGAAGTGTGTCCTTCAATGCTGCAGGAATTTATCTTACATTCTTAGTGCATGACTTCAAAACTACCACAGTAAATAAAGCAAAGAAAATATGGCCCACACAAACTAATCAATTACCCAGTTAGGTAGGAATGTATGAGCTGAGATAGACAACAGCAAGATAACGTTTGGATGTTTTGAAGCAGGGTTGTTTGTGGTTTTCTCTCCAAAGTTGGTGTACTACCTACCTAAAATAAATGTAATCTGTAGCTTATTACATGGCCACATACAAAATAAACCTACAACACAATTGATTTAAAAATGATTGTATGTTTTCCATTATTGTGTATAAACGGCTGGAACTGATGCGCATACTGTGTTCCTTTTAGTGTCTACTTCCTGTCTGTCTGTCTGTCTGTCTGTCTGTCTTCTTCTGCTCTTCCCTTTGGTGTTTACTTCCTGTCTGTCTTCTTCTACTGTTCCCTTTGGTGTTTACAACCTGTCTGTCTTCTTCTGCTTTTTCCGTGAACTTCACTTTTTCCTGCGGATTGATATGACTGCACATAGTTCCTGGATCCTCCTTAGCAACGGTCTGCTCTCCTTAGCAACAGTCTGTTAGCGAAAAATAGCAGAGCTGTGGAATGTCCAAATCGACCAATCAGCATTGAGTATTCTACAAAGCTTTGTAATAAATTAAATTAACCACCTCATGGAGTAAGTTCACATCACATCTTGCACTGAGACTGCTTTTACATCTATAGCAAACGTTATAATTTGGGGAATGTTATTTTAAAATGATTTGCTCTAACTTTGTAAAGTCTATACTTTTAAATAAAGATCAATATTGCTATAAGTAGTTTTCAGTTGTGTTTTAGATTTTGTTCTGATCGAGTGCGTGCATTGTTTTCATGCACCTCATGCATTTCGGTGACAACATTCAAGGGAAGGAATGTTTTTATATATCCGGAAGTGGGTCATTAATTTCAGGGAAGCGAGGTTGTGATGAATAAATAACATTGTGAGTGTTTTTCCTCAAAATTCGTTACCGTATGTCGCTCTGGTGTATGCATTATTTATCATAACCTGCTAACAGGAATATCACAATGTTCAGAAAGGAAACATTGGTTACCATTTAGGGAAGTATTTCCAGTCATGACTGTTTTCCCGTTAAAAGTCAAGAGTTCAACAAGTTCCTCGAAATAGTGACATTGTTTAAAATATGCCAGCGTGACAACACATACTTATTGATGGATGTGGACCTAAACATATTGGAAACTATTGAGATTTACTGTAAACAGCAGGAAGCTACCAATGTACTGCTGTGTTATTACATTTTCTTTGACATAATGTTTTTTTAGAGACAGGTTGCTGTTTTTAGAAACCATCAGATATTGAAATAATGGCTCCACATCTTTCTCATTGTTCCTGCAGAGTGGAGAGGCGTTACGTGGAGAAGTTCTGGAAGGAGGTGAGGGTGGGAGACTTCATCCGGCTGCGCTGTAACGAGATCCTCCCCGCCGACGTCCTGCTGCTCAGCTCCAGCGACCCGGACCGCCTCTGTCACATCGAGACGGCCACGCTGGACGGAGAGACCAACCTGAAGCAGAGGCAGGTGGTGCGCAGCTTCCTGGACCTGGTGAGACCCTTTACAGCATCAAATAAGAGAACCGTGCTGGGAGAAATCCTGATTAATTGTATTAACCCATGTCACAAACTGTTCTCTCTCTTAACCTACTGGTAGGAGATACAGAAGCTTTAAAGGTCACCTATTATGCAAAATCCTCTTCTTCATGTCTCATCTACATCAACATGTGTCCCCTCTGTGGAAAGAGACTCAAAGATTCTCTCTCTCTTTGTCCTGATCCATTTATATAAAAACCTGTCTGAAAATAAGCTGATCAGATTTTGGTATGATGTCATAACGATGTTTTTCTCTTGTGTAACCATTAGCCAATCACCAACCAAGGTAACCCCCCCCCCACCTTATCACCTGAATCTCCTCCTAGAGCACCATTGAGTTCTTTTCAACCAAATATCTCTCAGACGGGCGTGGGGAGGGGCTCCTTATTTTCATCTAAAGCAGGGGTGTCAAACTCAATTTCATCGCGGGCCACATTAGCATTATGGTTGCACTCAAAGGGCCGGTTGTCACTTTAAGACGATATAAATATATAAAATAATGTATTATATTACATTATTGCCTCTGCATTGGATTATTATCAGATAGGGTAATAACTTCAGAAATAACAGATGCATTGTGGGACATGTTGCTTATTGGCAATGTGCTTCTGTAAAACGGCATGTAACCGTATAATAATAATAATTATATATATTATAAGAATATTATATTCTTTGCAAGCTCTTGCGGGACAGGGATTTGGCCCCCTTGAGTTTGACACCCCTGATCTAAAGTAACAGACAGAATCAGCACTTTTGAAACAGGGCTGAAACAGAGGGGATTATGGGTAATGCTGCAATGATCTGTTTGGTTATTTGGAAATTAGCAGCTGTTCTGTTTGTTTTTTGTTTTCAGGATTGTGATTTCGACCCCCTGAAGTACAACGGCATCATTGAATGTGAAAAACCAAACAACGACCTGAACAGATTCAGAGGCTACATGTGAGAACTCTCTCTGCTTCATCTTAATTCAAATTTCACTGTCAATTTGAGTAAATGTCGAGTAAGTTATCCTCCAGAATGGAAATAATGTGAAACTGTGGTTTGTTTACCAGAAGCCAGAAAGTCTCCAACTTATAATTATGACTTAAAGCTTTTCCAAGTCAGGATTAGGATTTGACTTCTTGGGATGTGGTTTGCCCGTCTTGACCGCGCTATAGATGTATGTGGTTCATCGTGACCAGAATATAGTGGAGCTGTAGTTCGTAGAAGTCTATGAGAGAAAAGCAAAACAACAACTGAACTGTCTTAGCAATTTAATCATGTACACAAAGGAGATTGATTAGAAGCCTTCAACTTAATATACCAAAATGGAGAAGTGAAAGCCTATTTTAAACTAGACGTATGGTAACTGAAAGGGCTTTAACTATGAAAGGCGGGGCTTGATATCTCTATCTGCAGTTTTGTTTTAACCTTTTATTTATCTGTCTCCTGTGAGAAAATGCAATGCCTAATTACTCGAGTACCGCTTTACAAACCTGGATACCACTTAGTATGAGCTGGCACTTTTACATCTATAGAAATTAAGTTATTTGTAAAACTTGTTCACTTTTTCGACTATTTTAAAATGTATTTTCATTGTCTAACAACTTGATGGGGTCAACAAGACCACAATGCTACATTTTTACACTTTGGTTAAAACAAAGAAGGTGAAACATTTAAATAAGTGAGCAGATTGTGCTACCTTCATACAGAGCCAGGCTAGCTGCTTCCCCTTTGATTTCAGTCTTGATGCTAAGCTAAGCTAACCGCGTTCTCACCATCGCCTTGTAATCATACAGACATGAGAGTTGTATCTATCTTCATATCAAATCCTCTGCAATAAAACCAGAGTACATTTCCTGAAAATATTTCTGGACATGTTTATCAGTAGGTGGCATCATGTTTTGAGAGCTGGGTTAATCCAAAGGGAACTTTTCATCGTGTCTCCCGAAACAACGTCTTCTTGGCTTACAGTCGCTCTCACATGTTCCTGACAGTTATATTTTACTCAGAAGAAGACCATATGCTGCAGGTTTTATGTTGCCAGGTTGCAGCCGAGCACAGGGCACAGCAGCGGGGTTAAAGGGGGGGGCAGTTATCACAGCAGTGTTTTATTACATTAAGGCCGATGTCACTGAGTGTAATTTCAGGTGTGTGTGTGTGTGTGTGTGTGTGTGTGTGTGTGTGTGTGTGTGTGTGTGTGTGTGTGTGTGTGTCATTGTGTGTGTGTGTGTGTGTGTGTCATTGTGTGTGTGTGTGTCATTGTGTGTGTGTGTGTGTGTGTCATTGTGTGCGTGTGACAGTCATTTAATTTGTTTTTATTACATACAGCAAACTCTTTCACGTGTCTCTTTTTCACTTTCATTATTTAAACGGTTATAACTTTTAGCCCTCTATTTTAACCATTATTATAATATAATCCTTTCCCGTTTCTAATTATTATTTTTAGCCAATGTAACATATTTATTTAATGTGCTCATGCAATATTTTAAGCTCTTTATTAAAGTAGTTTTTCTTTTCTTTAGCTATTTATTTTTGACTGTTTATCCATATCTTAAGATACTTATTTTTAATCTAATTATTTAAATTGTTCATGGGCTTTATTTTTGTCTATTTAAATTGTTTGTCCATTACTTTAAGCTAATTATTTAAACAATTGTTCCATTATTTATAACATCATTATTGAAATTGAGATGTGTGTGAAGTACGGCAGAAGTCCAAGCACTACTTGGGAAAGAATTGCTTTTAAGTAATTGCTTTAAACGCTACCCTCTGGGGTTGTTGTGTCAAGATACTCTTCCAGTTGTTGTGCTTTTAAATTCCTAAAACAAATCAATGTATTGGTATTTCCTCCTCAGAGTCCATCGCAGTGGCCGGAGAGATGCACTTTACAAAGAGAACCTGCTGCTGAGAGGCTGCACCATCAGAAACACAGAGGAGGCCGTGGGGATCATTATTTACGCAGGTCAGCTCCACCCCCAGAGTAACCTCGTCTCAGACTGTCTCTCCACTCGTTTGACCTCCGACCTCACGAACCATTTGTCTCTACAGGTCACGAAACCAAAGCCATGCTTAACAACAACGGGCCGCGATACAAACGCAGCAAACTGGAGCGTCAGATGAACGTGCACGTGTTCTGGTGCGTCATCATCCTGCTGGTCATGTGCCTGTTCACTGCGATCGGTAAGAAACCCTCCAGAGATATTTTTAAGTAGGGCTGCACGAAAATACCAACGCCTTCCATGACTATTCAAACCCCTGAAGGCAGCATCTCCCTGGTTCCCTCCTCAAAAAGCCAATGGGATTTTTCAATTGGACTTTGTTTACTTCCAGAACATAGTGACATAACTATGTAACACTGATGCTCCTATTGGCTAGCGCTTCAACACATTGTACGTGATAGGCTAAGGGGCGGGACATCTCTAAGTGGTTGACTAATCACAACAGAACCGGACAGCTAACCAATCAGAGCAGACTAGGCTCTGGTTTCAGACAGAGGGTGAAAAGAGGTGCTGCAGCACAGACAGTATGAGAAGAATAAAGAGCTTTTTGAACATTAAAGCATGGAGACATGTCCCAGTAGAGACACTACATACTGATATACACCTGAACATCAGCAGGAGAGGACTCTTTAAAGTAGAGACACCACATACTGATATACACCTGAACATCAGCAGGAGAGGACTCTTTAAAGTAGAGACACTACATACTGATATACACCTGAACATCAGCAGGAGAGGACTCTTTAAAGTAGAGACACTACATACTGATATACACCTGAACATCAGCAGGAGAGGACTCTTTAAAGTAGAGACACTACATACTGATATACACCTGAACATCAGCAGGAGAGGACTCTTTAAAGTAGAGACACTACATACTGATATACACCTGAACATCAGCAGGAGAGGACTCTTTAAAGTAGAGACACTACATACTGATATACACCTGAACATCAGCAGGAGAGGACT